CGCGTCTGCCTCCGCGACCCGAAAGGAGAAGCGGCGATGGAAGATGAAGATGTTTTCTCGAAACTTTGAATACAGTTATTGAAATGTTTACTTATTCATTATTAAGCCTTTATTATATGGAGGACTGCATGTATGATCTAATGCACGGTTATGGCAGCAAAAGTGTCTATCTGCCATTACGAGAATGCCATAAAACGCAGATTCGCTAGGATCGCATGGTGCTGCCACTGATAATGACCGCGGTTGCTTGTCGGTACTGTCATTGTTTCGAGCTCTGATCGGGTCATACGCCTTTCTTTCTTGTGAGATATGAGTATCACTCTGAGACAAGAAAGCAGGAAACTCCAGCCAACGCTTGCGACATAGCTGCAGATTCTGTGAAATAAGGCACTGCTGCCCGACGAAGAAACGAAAATCAGCTTCGCACCACATGCTTCAGAAAATGAAGGATACGTCACAAGTGGCCGATGATCATGAAAGTTTAGGGAAGGCCGTTTTCCCATTTTCTTTTCTGTTGGTACTAAGAGCGCTTCGTTATGAAACTTTCATGTTGCGAATTAAACCGCATCGCCTGACACCAAGGAATTGCTGAGCGTAAGGAAACTCTGCTGCTGCCTGATATTGGGCATTGCCATGGCGATACCTCCAGATTCTTGAATTCGTGCTGATTCGCCAAAGAACTTCGGATATTTAAGGATCATCAGATGACTCCTTGATGTCTTAATACGTACGCGTGCCATCAAAACTGGAGGCGGGACCCGTCAGCTACCAGCACAAACAAGAATCACACGCATTTTGAAGGAGATCTTCGATATACAGATTGATACGTCAGACTAAGGATCATCTCCGTACTATGGGCAAAATTAAATATAACCTGGATGTTTTGGAATAGCTATCGCCATTATCAGCTTTCTACTTCTGCCGGTAAATATTACATTTCAATTACTGATACTAAATTACAGCACCTAATCCGTATCACTAAATTGAAGCGCAATATTTTTTGACTGAAATGGAAAGTTGCCGTTCGTGATAACAACCACAGAATAATAGGACACTGATAACCACAACAATGACTTATCCTCATTCGTAACTGAGTAATCGCCATTGCTCATTCTCGATGCCCACACCCTTCCGATTTATAAACACAAGCTTCCATATCTCTCTTTCAGCTCCTCAACCCTTCTGAGCTGAGGTCTTCCAATTTAGCCCCTTTAACTCCAATTCTTCGCTGCTGAAGTCAATCAGTAGTCCATCAGTTGTGTTAGTAGTCCTCCGTAGTCTAACTCTAACTGTCCGTCGTTGACTGCGGATCACTTTTCTCGTGTTTTCCCATTCCACTGGATCATGGCAAATGATTCTGGCTACTCTCTATGCTTGTCAGGCGTCTTAGACAGAAACTTCACCTATCCTTCACCCCAGCAGAATGGGGTTCTGTTTGATACCTCTGTGGTGTTTGGCCAACTCAAAGATTTCCTTGGAAAGCTGGGGAACCAGTTCTCCGGACGTTTCTCCTTCACACTACGTCGGATGATATTTTTTGTCTATATATTTGCCTATAAATGGTGGTAAATACTGTTGATGTTCGAATATGCCTTTGTTGAGCCAAACCTAGAAGCGCAGTCTTGCATCCGTGGCACTGAGTGTATTAAAAAAGAATGGGCACGTGATCAGCTCAAATGGTTCAATGATGCGACTAGAAACAAGAGGCGGTGCGCTTTTTGCCATGTAAATACAGTATCAGTGATTGAACTGTACATTCCTACATCAATTGCTTTGCATTTGATTAAACAAACGGTAAATCCCCTATTTTCTTTAAGAATTATAATTCAGTAGATATCTACAGTAATCATCGTATACTCGTCATTTTGTGTGCCGTGCAAGATTTCCTTATATTTTCCATGAAAAGTGTGACGGACGATAGCCTGAAATCCGTCTTTCGACGTTTTTTGTCAGCATATCTGTCCCACAGCTATAACCGCTTTGAAAGCGACAAAGTTCGATCAACAAGCCATTTACTAATTTTGGGTCCATTGCTAACCTTCAAAGCTACGCAGTGGCAAAACAGTACTCATTGACGTACTTTAAGCTGTCATGCAACCTTGTGCCTTAGTCGTTGCCCGCTCTCTACAAACAGGCACGCGGGACGAATTTTGAATAGCAGTGTACTGATGGGCTCCATCAGGAGAGATGCCTTCTGGAAAAGGAGAGAACGGTGTACAATTTCGTAAAAACATAGTCGCCTAATTAAAAACATGGCAAGAACTTTCTGGCAAGCTGAGCCAATTATTTCTCACAAATTTCAGAATAAACTAGGAGAAGAGGAGTCTCCTCTACTGTTTGTTATGTTCTTCACTGGATGCTGAAGGCAATAGGAAGGGGTGATGCTACGACTTCGGTGAGAGTAGGAAACATCTGCAGATGATATCGTATTGGTTAGCAGGCAATACAAGGATTGCGATATTGCTGTTCTTAATTCTGAAACAGATGTGTTCTGATGTGAGTCGCTTGATTAACTTAAAGAAGTCAAGATGAGGTCAAACACTGTTTTATTCTTCACACCAGCGAAGATGTGGAAAAGCTACCGGAGTTTCCATACCTTAACTACACACTGGCGATCGACAAAGGAAGATAAGAATTCTTGTACCCTGATATTAATAGTCAGCAACAAGTAAAGTTAAATAAACTCTGGAAGGACAAATGTGCTGGCCACAGTTCAAAGCTGTGGATACAGAGGGCTTGCATTCTGAATATCTTGCTCTATGGTCTGAAGCCTACAGCATTTAGCAAAGCTGACTACATAGAACTGAAACCGAGGGAAATGAAAGTTTGAAGACGAACAACACATGTAAAATGGTACAATCTCCCGTCATATGATATTATGAGAGATCAGGATGTCAAATCAAAGTGACTATCTGATTGTGGACCACGAGATTTAAATTAATGGCGCTATCGTCAACCAATGGACAACAGCGTGCTGTGATGCAAATAATGAACGCAAAGTCTGATGGTAGGCGAGCTAACGTGCGAGTGCTTGATAAAAAAATATTTTCATGTTAATATGCCAGCATATGAAGTGTATTGAGTATCAGTTCCTGAAAAATCGTTCGTGATCAGCACGAGATGACTCTAGCGAACAAAATGATATGAAATGCATCTGGAAATGCAGGTACTCAAACAAGATTGCCTTGCGGCTAGCCTAAATGGCTACCTAGACAACTAGGAGCAAGCATGGGACGCAACATTCCTTCGGTCTACCTGTACAACATCCGATGTGTTTATCGCTGTAATAGGATGTGAGAAAAGAAACAGATATACTCTACAGATATACAAATATGAAGTAGAATGTTAATAAGTGGATGAAAATGGTTCAATTTAATGGTGTAAAAACTAAGCGACAGACGGTAGTAACGGGTAAGAAGAGATTCAGAGTACATTACTTGTACTTAACATTATTCTTGTCTGCAATGAAAAACATCAAACCTTGATGAGTTTGTCCACTTTCCGAGAAGTCGCGCTTCATTGAACTCGCGTGCGAATTGCTGGACTCATAAAATTTCCAGTATTTTTTAAAATAGCGATTCCTGTAAGAGAGTATAAGCTTGTAAAAATGCAACTCGAACACACCCAGCTCAAGTATACCTGATCGCTTCGATCTCCATGGAATGTGCGGACGCGTGGCCGATCGATAGATGGGCGAGATAATAGTTCAAAGATGAGATTTCGGCTACGAATTCATTGGAATCCGCGCTCGAAACAGAACCACACTCCTCCTCGCTTCGGTCCCAGGCGAACCACCTTGGGCACCGCTGCGTTTCTGCATCATCCGTGTCCTCCGCATCGTTGCAATTTCTCTCCTCATCGCAGTACTCAGCCCGTAAAGCCCAGAGGTCTTTGCACTGTGATATTATATCATTTTGACTTTGCACTGACATTGCGGCTGTAACGGAAGCATGCTGTCCCGCGACCGCTGAGGAAGCAGGTCGCGACTGCGCATCCTCTGCAGCAGTGCCGTCGGCGTCCGAGGCGAAGCCGGCGGAGGGAGGCGGAAAGTGCCTCATCTCCATTGTATCGTCGGGCACAGAGCTGCAGTTCAATCCACCGCCACCGGTGCTGTGACGAGCGACACACGGCTGGCAGCCACAGGAGCCAGCTGTCTCGGCACTCTTCCAGGTGCGCCGCTGCAAACACCTGGCGGATGATCGACCGGGGCTCGATATGATCACTGTTCGAACCTAGGCTGTGTTCTCTATCATCATGCAGAACAAACAGCCTCGTTTCTCGTCCTTCATGCACAGATGTACCGTGCGTTCCGTCGGCTCGAACGTGACGTGCTTATTCGGACACTGTGCGGAACTCCAGGCTGCACTTACCATTGCTTTTGAAACCGAACGCATTTAAAATTTATTCTCCACCTAAAAACGTAGCGCTCGTGCTTGCATGCTGACATCTGGAAGTCTCATTCACAAGGCAACGACGGAAAGCCGTCCGATGATGCATGGGGCAACGGCGAAATGGATCTCAGCAGACCGTCATCGATCAAAGGAGTTAAATGACTTGTTGCGTTCGCGATGGTCCGACAAGAGTTCAGTCACTGAAATTCACTTTAAACTATAAAGGAATCGATTTTGAAACCGAGACTGCCGTATCGTAACTGTTAGGGCACAATCATCCAGTCCCTTTCACCGCAAATCGAAAAGTAGCCCATCTTGCCTTTCGTTTGCACTAATCGTTGTTCGCCTGTCCGTAGAGTTACACGGACAGACGCAGCTACCATCAGTACATTGCAGTTGCCAATTCTTCCAGCGAAGTTTCGTCGACACGTTCCTGGCCATAACAACACAAGACGACGGGAATAATGAAAATAACTGTTCCGTGATACTAAAAACATTGATCAATCAGTTAATTTCGACGACTGTTTGTCCTTTCATGTCTGGCAGGCAGACAGACAGTATCTCCAATTTCCTCGATCCTGTGCCAGCGCTTGACCTTAGACAGATGATCACTCCATACAGGAGCAGAGTCATTCGAATCACATAACCTAGGTTATTCGGCAAGTCGGTTGAACAAGTAGCAGCTGTTTCACCTACTGGAATACTGAGGCAATTGCGAGACATGCAAAAACAATCGGTGGAGTGAGTTCTCAATCTGGAGAAGCTATGACTACAGACAAGGGTTGTCTCAGATACCTGTAATTCGGACTTTGTCCATACGTGTGAGTACAGCTAATCGTCTTAGAAAGCTCAATTCAACCGCTTGAACCCAACCTCGAAGGTTTTATAGTCATGACTCATGACCATAGCAGAGCATCGGGAAGAAGACTGAAAAACATAGGTGAAGACGCAATTCTATTCTAAAACTCATTATACCGTTCTGAAGAAAACTTATATGAAACCGTCATCTTACTGATGATATCGGGCTGTTCTGTTTAACTCATTTTCGAACATATCTGATTAAGAAATTTCAGTACTTTGCAATTCTGAACATTCTGAATGACATAAAACAATTACATTCAAGTTTTGTGCTCGTAAAAAACACTGGTAATAAACTGGCATCTTTTTGAATTTCACCTGCAATGATCAACGAAGGTTAAGAAGGCTTCAGGTTGACCATTTTTGTACAGTACCTGACCGTCCTGGGTCGCTTACTATTTATCCTTCTATAAATTTTACCTATCGTTTAAACCACTTACTGATTGTTATGCAGTCATCAGATGGATGAAGGGAAATTGCGGCCCTGCGAAGCACGCATCTGACAACATAGACGTTCGACTGACACACTTTGATAAGATCATATCGAATACCATGCTGTCGCAACTGATACTTGCTACTTCTCTCGAGTGGTTGCACCAACCCCACCAGTGGCACCAATTGAAAACATTGGCATGGAACGAAGATTTAACATCTTTCACTGATCAGCAGTTCACCGTTTCTCTTTGGTAATACTCTAAGGTAGTTTTGAAATCCAGTCTATTGACTTGCTGTCCTTGAATTTCAAATTCAAAGAACAAATGATCACTCAAAGACCAGATTTCACGACGTGCTATACTTCCTTGCTCATAGTTGCCTGGGGTGGGGGGGGGCCTTTAAGCCACGGTTCTACTGTGTTTGAGCACCTGCAGTGTCAGATGCATCTCGCATCAATTTTTTTCCACTAAAGCCACGTAATGCTCATCA